GGTGTAGGATTTATAGTTTTTAAACTACCGTTTGAAGATGGCAACCGCCAGTGAAGTGAGCAAGTTGGAGCAGTTTATTTTTAACCGCTCTTCTCTGCCCTTGCTGTAGAGTGAGTTGCCATAGGAACCCAGGTGTGTGAGCAGGCAGCAGAGTGACAAAAGCTAGAGTGTGAGCTGAAAAATATAAGTTGAAATGCATTTTTCACTCTATCAAGCCTGCCATGTGCACTTTTTAAATTTGATCAGTGAATTGGTTAGTGTAATGTTTACTATCTTTACTCACTCCAAACACTCCACACAGTTACTCTGCCCACTCCATAAAGTTACTCTGCCCAGTCCAACCTTTTCACAGTTACTCCAGCCACTCCAACCACACAACAGTTACTCAAGCCACTCCACCCAGTTACTCCGCCCACTCCAGTTGTAGACTACTGGTGGAGGCAAGAACACTTCACACAATTTCCCCAGAAATTGTAGCTTTTCTGGTTATTAAGTGTTCTTGCATGGCAAGACCACTTACTGTTATCTCACATATATATTCTTATTATTATAGCCAAATTTACCACCCTAACTCCTCCCACAGTTTTTACACTACATAGACAGTAATATACCGAAACGTGTGGATTGTTCCCGATTGGTGTGCTATTACTTTGTGGAACGTTTCGCCGAATGGTGAAATTAGTCCCGTAGGAATGAATGGCGGAATGTTCAAAACTAGAGTGGGAGCTGACAAAACCTTTTCACAGTTACTCCAGCCACTCCAACCACGCAACAGTTACTCAAGCCACTCCACTCAGTTACTCCGCCCACTCCAGTTGTAGACTACTGGTGGAGGCAAGAACTCTTCACACAATTTCCCCAGAAATTGTAGATTTTCTAGTTGATTAAGCATTATCACCAAGTTTGAATACTCAAATATATATTTCATATATGTGAACTTTTTAAACGATTGAAATAAATGTTATATTTTTAGTCACTATTTTCTCATTCTTCTTGGTACCTTTAAAGTCCCGTTAATGTTTTTTCTTTCATTCATTCATTCAGTTCATTCTCCTCTTTTTTTACCTCTCTTTGTATCCCCTCCTTCCTTCTCTTGGAACATTTTGCATACACTTACCTTTTTTGTAATGTGCTTAAAGGATAAGTTCACCTTTGGAACACGTTACATGTTCCACGCGTTTTAGGGTGGAACATGCAACATGTTCCCATAGCTGCAGCCGTGTCCGCCGCTCCCTCTGCCTGTGACAGATCGGACGGGAGAAGTTTCCCTTTACTATCTGTCAAATTTGACAGCATAGCTGTGCGGGGCTCTGCCCATGCGGCTGTGTCATTCATTCATGGACTTCCATGAATTAATGAACTGCAAATCCCAACAGCCTTAGTGGCTGTCAGCTTGTAGTTTTCAATTAACTACTATGGTGCTGTGGAGCGCTATGGTAGTTAATTGAAACTTCTTGCCAGAATATCTGCTCGAACATACATCCCGTATGACAAGCAGATATTCTGACAGGTCTGCAGGAGACCTGCATGGCATCAGTGATCTACTGATCACTTGTGCAATGCTTTCCAGGCTCCTTTGGACAAAATAATAAATGTGCATTTTGTTTACCTGCAAAAAATTTGCATTTATTATTTTTTTCTAAAAGCTGAATTAATCCTTTAATAATTACAATGTGAAAACACTGTTGTAGTAACATATTAGTTAGGAGACAGGATGAAATAAATAGGGAGTGTTTTTTTTTATTTCCCCCTACTTAAATTATAAATATGTACTATCTTGTCAGTCCCTATAATTATCTAGTATATCTAAGTTCTGACAATATTGATGGTGATAATATATTAACAATATTAGCTATAATAATAAACACTATGCTCAAGAAGCAAAGGTCTTATTTTTTTTACAAAGAAAGTAAAACTTTAACATGAAATCTAACTGAATATTACAGAGTATACAGGTGAAACTTGAAAAATTAGAATATAGTGCAAAAGTTCATTTATTTCAGTAATGCAACTTAAAAGGTGAAACTAATATATGAGATAGACTCATTACATGCAAAGCAAGATAGTTCAAGCCATGATTTGTCATAATTGTGATGATTATGGCTTACAGCTCATGAAAACCCCAAATCCACAATCTCAGAAAATTAGAACATTGTGAAAAGGTGCAATATTCTAGGCTCAAAGTGTCCCACTCTAATCAGCTAATTAAGCCGTAACACCTGCAAAGGGTTCTTGAGCCTTTAAATGGTCTCTCAGTCTGGTTCAGTAGGAATCACAATCATGGGAAAGACTGCTGACCTGACAGTTGTGCAGAAAACCATCATTGACACCCTCCATAAGGAGGGAAAGCCTCAAAAGGTAATTGCAAAAGAAGTTGGATGTTCCCAAAGTGTTGTATCAAAGCACATTAATAGAAAGTTATGTGGAAGGGAAAAGTATGAAAGACAAAGGTGCACAAGCAGCAGGGATGACCGCAGCCTGGAGAGGATTGCCAGGAAAAGGCCATTCAAAAGTGTTGGGGACTTTGACAAGGAGTGGACTGAGGCTGGAGTCAGCGCATCAAGAGCCACCACACACAGACAGATCCTGGACATGGGCTTCAAATGTCATATTGCTCTTGTCAAGCCGCTGCTGAACAACAAACAACGTCAGAAGTGTCTTACCTGGGCTAAAGAAAAACAGACCTGGTCTGTTGCTCAGTGGTCCAAAGTCCTCTTTTCTGATAAGAGCAACTTTTGCATCTCATTTGGAAACCAAGGACCCAGAGTATGGAGGAAGAATGGAGAGGCACACACTGCAAGATGCTTGAAGTCCAGTGTGAAGTTTCCACAGTCTGTGTTGATTTGGGGAGCCATGTCATCTGCTGGTGTTGGTCCATTGTGCTTCATTAAGTCCAGGGTTAACGCAGCCGTCTACCAGGAGATGTTGGAGCACTTCATGCTTCCTTCCACAGACTCGCTTTATGGGGATGCTGACTTCATTTTCTAGCAGGACTTGGCACCTGCCCACACTGCCAAAAGCAACAAAACCTGGTTCAATGACGGTGGGATTACTGTGCTTGATTGGCCAGCAAACTCGCCTGACCTGAACTCCATAGAGAATATATGGGGCATTGCCAAGAGAAAGATGAGAGACATGAGACCAAACAATGCAGAAGAGCTGAAGGCCACTATTCAAGCATCGTGGTCTTCCATAACACCTCAGCAGTGCCACAGGCTGATATCTTCCATCCCATGCCACACTGAGGCAGTAATTGCTGCAAAAGGAGCCCAAACCAAGTACTGAGTACATATGCATGCTTATACTTTTCAGAGGTCTGATATTGTTCTATGTACAATCCTTGTTTTATTGACTGCATGTAAAATTCTAATTTTCTGAGATTGTGGATTTGGGGTTTTCATGAGCTGTAAGCCATATTCATCACAATTATGACAAATCATGGCTTGAACTATCTTGCTTTGCATGTAATGAGTCTATCTCATATATTAGTTTCACCTTTTAAGTTGCATTACTGAAATAAATGAAGTTTGCACGATGTTCTAATTTTTCGTGTTTCACCTGTATATATATATAGAAACAAAAGAGCAGAGATGATACATTACGTAAGTTCGTCCTTGAAGTTAAGTATCTTGGCTGGGATCTAGGAAGTAACAGGCCATTCATTGCTGGCCCTCGCATTTTTAAGGCACTCAGAGACACAACCCACACAATCACCATCTGCCTGCCCTTTGGTGTCTAATAAACAATAAGCAGTAAATGATCAGGACTTTTGTTGCTATCCTCCAGTAGCGGGCATTGATGTACTGCGGGCAACTACCCTGGCCCAGGTCAACATTCCAGTGATAGCTAGCCCTTTGAAGTTCTGGTTGCAGGCAAGGCAATTAGTATCTTCAAATCACTAGGTGGTCTGAAGCAAAGCTCTCCTATTCCCATATCCCACCACAAGGGATAAAGCGTGAATTCCTCCTCCAGGTGAAGAATTCTGATATGCACTTCCTACACCATTACACCACCAGCCTGAATCAGTGATACAAGGCAGGATGGATCTATGCTTTCATGTTGTCTACACCAAATTCTGACCTTACCATCAACCATGCCACGTTCAAAGTCATTTAAATCCCCTTTCTTTCCCATTCTGATGCTCGGTTTTAACTTCAGCAAGTCATCTTCACCATGTCCAGATTCCTAAATGCATTGAGTTGCTGCCATGTGATTGGCTGATTAGCAATTTGTGTTACCAAGCAACTGAACAAGTGTACCTAATACAGTGGCCAGTGAATGTACACCCTTCTGGGTAATCCTGCTCATCTGACCTCCCAAGACTACCCCCAGTAGTCTCCAGATGGCTTAGGTACAATCAGGTCTCAGAAATATCTGATATTAAAAAACATGTTGCGCCTTCCAACACAAGAGAAAAATGTATTTAAATCATCTATACTGCTACCTTAAAATAATCTTTCACTATGTAATAGTATTCAGTTCTGATGTTTCTAATCTCCCTCTATAGTTAGGGGTTGCTGTCTCTTTAAAAAGGAGGAACCTGTTTCCAGGTAAATCTGTGTTAAGTTTATGCATTGCTATATACAGTAGGTTCCATAGCTGGGAACTTTTGAATTAGGGACCGTGATTTACGTAAGTATTATGATGCAGCAGTATGTTGTCACATGTACAGTATTTGTAAATGTAATTTAATAAACCTTGTATTGTTTAATAAATATATTGTTTTATACATACACTGAACACAGATTCAAAAATGCTTGTACTGCTGTACACAAGGGTCCATTGCTTGCTATGTACACCGCTGCATCCTATGGTTGCCACTTTAAATTCAGCAGATGACCTCAGTGAGAGGCGTTACATGGAATTGTTTTACCATGTTGCGTAATGCTAGCAACAGCGTCATTGTACTTTGGACAGAAGAATTAGGCACAATACAACAGATGCAAGATCCTGAAGCAAATAACTGAAGCTAGAAGATTATCTCAGAATTTATACCAAACATGTTAAAGCCAGAGCTTATTCCCTTTTTGTATTCTAATGTATTTTTACTGGTATTTACAGTACTTGTTTGTTTTTTCCTGTTGGATTTTGTGAAGAGAAAAAAGGGCCCACGGTTTCCTCCGGGTCCAAGAGGAGTGCCATTTCTAGGTAACATTCTACAGGTTGACTTCAGCCATCCAATGGTCTTTTTCAATCAGGTAAGCTATATATACTAGCTTCATGAAGTTGCCTTGTATGGAAATTTTACTAATTGCCTTTTCTTGCTCCCTCAAAGTGTGTTACTGGTAGAATCACCAGGTGAAAATAAAGGAGAAAAAAAAAACAAAAGAAAAAGAAAAATAGATAGTCACAACATCTAGAGATTGTAAGCTCTAATATATTACATTACATTTTTATTCTTGAATTTAGATGAACTTTAATTACAGTTTTGCTTGGTCCTGTAAAATGTATTTGAGTGGCTAGAGTGTCTGACCCATAGAATTTTTTCTAAAACTGCTCACATTTCTATTTGAACCTAAAATGCATCTAAATTCTAACACCTAAACCTAATATGATGTTCTAGCTGTTCCTTTTTTCATATTCTCTGTCTTTGATTAAATAATACCTGGTGATCCAACAGCAAGTCCGACAAATAAATATGCCTTATTTTAGTAGAGAAGTGCAGGACAAGATTTTTTCAGATTTGTCAGATTTTTTATTTCTGTTCCTGTCCCTATTGCAGATTTTCCCTCATTTCCTGTCTGTTGCACCTGTTGTCAGCAAGACAGAAGTAAGGGTGAATCTCTCTAATGGAGCCCTTGGTAGCAGTAAAAACCCAGTGTGAGTTACGATTATTGCCCACTTTATCCAAAATTAGAACAAAATTATTTGGCTTGACATAAACCACTAGCCTACCGGCCACTTTTACCCCCTTCCTGTCCAGGCCAATTTTCAGCTTTCAGTGCTGTCACACTTTGAATGACAATTGCGTGGTCATGCAGCACTGTACCCATTTTTTTGAGACCTATATAGCTTTCTTTTGGTGGTATTCAATCACCACTGTTTTTTTTTTTTTTTTTGCTAAACAAACTAAAATGAAAATTTTGAAAAAAAAATGTTTTCTTAGTCTCTGTTATAAAATTGTGTAAATAAGTAATTTTTCTCCTTCACTGATGTGCACTAATGAGGCTGCAGTGATGGGCACTGATAGGCTGAACTGATGGGCACTGATGAGGAGGCACTGGTAGGTAGCACTGATGGGCATTGACAGGCATCACTTGAGGTCATTGACAGGCATCACTGATGGGCACTGAAAGGCAGCACTCATATAAGGTACTGATAGGTGGCACTGATTGTAACTGTTATCCGGCACTGATGGGCACTTATAGGCAACACTGACTAGCACTGATAGTTGTGAGCGAAAGGCACTGATACGTGGCATTGATGTGCACTGGTAGGCACTGATATGTGGCATTGATGGGCACTGGCATGTGACATTGATGGGCACTGACAGGTGGCACTGACAGGGCCACACTGATCATCAGGGTACTGATCATCAGTGCCCTGATGATCAGTGTAGATGTCCCTACTGAGGAATGCCGCTCACCGACTCTCTGCATGAGTAGAGGACTGCCGATAACTGTTAGAGTGGCAAGATGCCATATGACGTCCTCCCAGAATGAGGGAACCGCAGCCCATTTCCTTATATGGCGGGCGGGAGGCGGTTAAAGAGGAACTTCACCCAGGTTTGAAAAGAGTAAAATTCATCAGCTACAAATACTGTCATACCTGGAAGATCCCCAAAGAAACTGAAAATCACTAAGTAGGTATAACTATTACAGTGATTGCTGCTGGTTTCTGAGTCACGTGCCATGCAGCTGCTCTGCTGCTTACTGAACACAGGAGATTGCTTGCAGGGCACTGGCGCCATTCAGAAAACACTTTGCATTTTCTTAGCGAATGCAAAGTGTTCTCTGATTGGACAAGGGGGGGAGTGTGTGACCTCATTGCTCTGCTTCTCCATCACGTATTGGGGCAGGGACTGATGTGAATGCACAATATATAAGTAAAGTCCTGCATAAATTGTTGGCACTATATAAATACTTGTAATAAATAAAATATTGTAAAAATAAATAAATAAATGAGCAATACATCTAAACAGTAAAAAAAAAACCATGTGCAAAGTTAAAAGAGCTATAGAGAATAAAAAGGTCAGTTTAAAAATGTACAAATGAAGGACCACTATCCTCATTTGAAAGTTACTAAGAATATAACAACAAATTATGTAAAAGAGAAATTAAGGCCACTATACAATAATTCAAAACAATGACAGATTGCAAAAAAGAGTGGGATGAACATCAAAAAAATGTATCAAACATAATAAAACTAAAAAGGAGTGTCCTTCTCGCAGAGCTAAGCCATGCGCTCTATTTTCCTCCTTGGAAGGGCTCCTCCTTGGAGGGGCTTCTTGGGAGACAAGTGGCACAGAATCAGTTCTCTGCACTGCAAGTTATCCAGCAACATCAATGCAACATCAATGCTGGTATAGGCTTCTCTGTACCTATGAATTTCAGTGTCAGCTAACAGCTACCCATTTCTTAAGCAGATACATCTCATGTTTCACCAGTCCAGAATGCTCTTCCAAAGGATTATGTATACAAATACCAGCTCCACCTTTTATCCAATTGAGTCCTCAGAGCCATTTTAAAATGGCACTGGGATAACAGCTATTCACCCTTGTGCCACTTTAAAATAGCCCCCAGCCTCGGTGTGGAAGCAGGCTAGAACTGCCAGCTTTCTGTGACAGCAGGAATCCAGCACTAGGCCCAGGGACTGAAAAATCAGATCTTCCTACAGATAGCTCCCTAGGAGTGTACTGTAAATTTGAAAGTAAATAGAATGTTTACATCAGGAGTGTAATGACATCAGGCCACTCCCATTCTGTACAGATGCCAGAAATGAGCTGTTCTCACCTGTCCAGACTTTATTTGCAGCAATAGTAATAGTGATCTGTAGCAGGCTGATTGACAAAAATAAAGTGTAAAAAAAGTGCTACAAAACAAAAAATAAACATAGTAAGTGTTTATGTGTGTGTATGTAAACTGGATGCCATTTATGTTCACTGTGCATGCATCAAATACTCACATAAGTGACTGCAATTTGATTTGATACCCCCCCTCAAAAAAAAGTAATTTGTGCTCTTGTCAACCAGATTTAATTTATCCAAATGTTATGCTAACACTTTATGCAAATAGTTTTTTTTATCTCTGCGTGCCTCACTCTACTGGCATGTGTTACAAAGAAATAAGTGAATAACTTTGAAAATTAAGATAAAGGACATAAATGGTAATCTAGACTATATGAGGCTATTTCAGATATGTAGAGGAAATTACAATATCTCTGAATATATTTCATCACTCTATGAACATTGGATGTTGCTTCTGTTTTATATGTAACTTTAAATAAACTTTTGTGCAATAAAAGATATAAGGGCATTTTAAAACTATTGTAATTCATGTTTTAAATCTGGTACCCTTAAAGGATAACTTCAATTTTCATAATATATTGCATGTTATACCCATGTTCAGGGTATAACATGTATATTCAGGGTATATTCACCCCCCCCCCCCCCCCAAAATCCCCTGATGTAACAGCTAGTGGGGGATTTCCCCTGCTAGCTTTCACAATTTGAAAAAAACACAGCCATGCAAGGCTCCGTCCACCTGGCTGCATCATTCATTCACAGAGTTCCATGAATGAGAAACTATAAGTCCCGGCAGCCTTTGCGGCTGTCAGCTTGAAGTTGTCATTGAACTACCATGACATTGTCGAGTGCCATGGTAGTTTATTGATTCATCCTGTCAGTAAAACTGCCTGCGCATACCATGTATGGGCAGACAGCTTATATTGACAATCTGCAGGGGACCTGCATGGCACCAGTGATCTGCTGAAATGCATTCCAGGCTCCTAAAAAAAAAAAAAAAAACAAATCCACATTTTTATACCTGCAAAAAAATGTGCATTTATTATTTGTGCAAAGTGAACTTATCCTTTAAAATCCCAGGGTACAGTTTTTATTTTGGTCATATCTATAGGAGTGGGATGCTCCTCAACATAGCAGAAATGTATAAATTACGTATCCCATATGTAATACCATGTCATTAGATACCATTGTATAAGCAGTGAAACATCTTCAATGATACAGAAGAAGTCCAGCTGAATGTAACTGTTGCTAGCTTTACCATTACTTAGATACTTTTTTAATGTTTATGTTTTAGCATTATACACAGATTATTATTATTGCAATAAAATTCATGCAGTATGTTTTCAACAGGTGAAGCAAAAGTTTGGAGACATTGTTAGTGTGCAGTTCTTCTGGCACAAGATTGTAGTGCTGAATGGATTTGAATCAATGAAGGAAGCCTTGATCAATAGATCTGAGGATATAGCAGATCGTCCCCGTTTTCCTCTCTTTGAGAAGTTAGGATTCACAGACAACACAAAAGGTAAATTAATTAAAATGAATCAAAAGAATGTAAGGAGTATGTTTATGTTAGAGAACTTACTTCGATATCTGGTCATGAGGGCATTTGGGCCATTAGCTAAAATTAGGTAGGTGGATTTCCAATGTACTCTTCAGATAATCAATAAGTGCAAAAATACCTGTTGGTTCTTCCAGAAACTTTGTGAATTTATATTTTCCATGCTTTCTGTTTCTGCTGGCATCAGTTTACATTGTACCCAGCTGAAGAAAAGGAGAGGGGAAGGTGTCCTGTAGTCCCAACAAGCTTCTTGTTCTAGTGAGGGTTGTCATGTTAGGACAGGAAATGAATTACTGCCTGGGCCACTATGTAAAAATAAAGAGAAAAAAAGAAAATGAATGCAGGGGGACATTAGAGGACTCAATGCCTCGCTGAAGACCTGGTGTAAGAGGGAAGGATTTGGGTTTCTAGAGCACTGGGCTGACTTTTCATTGGGGTGCAAACTATATGCTAGAGATGGTCTGCACCTAAGTGGAAGGGGGTCTGCTGTGCTAGGGGAGAGGTTTATGGGAAAGCTGGAGGAGTATTTAAACTAGGATCGAGGGGAGGGGGAGGGAGAATTAGATTATAACGGGGTAGACAGATCAGACAGGGGTCAGTACTTATTGGTGGGTGGAAAGGGGAAAGAAGGGGGGAAGGCTATGGCAGATGATAAGAAGGTTCCCATGTTACAAACAACCAGTGGAATTGGTACCATTTGTATGCAAAATACGTGTGAACAAGGTGTCAATGAATTAAGGTGTTTGTTTACCAATGTCAGAAGTCTGCCAAACAAAATAGGTGAGTTGGAAGCTTTGGTGCATGAAGAGAACTATGATTTAATTGGTATTGCTGAATCTTGGCTTCATTCTTCACATGACTGGGCCACAGGGGTGGACTGACCATTCGAGCTCTCGGGCACTGCCTGAGGACCCGGGGTCAGTAGGGGGCCCCATGAGATGCCCCTGGTACCTTTCATTGGCTTTTTCATAGGCTTTTTTGGGTGTGGGCGAGGACACAGGGGCCCCATGATCCCTTATTGCCTGGGGGCCCCATGACTTGTCAGTCCGCCCCTGCTCGGCCATTAATATTCCTGGCTATGTTCTCTTTCGGAAAGACATTGTAAACAGGAAAGGTTGTGGTGTCTGTCTCTATGTGAGAAGTGATTTCAGAGCGAGTGTGAAAGAGTACCTAGTTGATGGAGAGTGTGATGATGCTGAAGTATTATGGGTGGAACTGCACATGGGGGTGCATACTACAAGGTAATCATTGGAGTTTGTTATAGGCCTCCAAGTGTTAATGAGGAGGTGGAAGCTCAGCTCCTTGCACAGATCGAAAGGGCTGCAAGGGCTGGTACAGTGAAAATAATAGGGGATTTTAACTACCCAGAAATTGACTGGACTAATGGTACTGCAGGAACAGTTAAAGGGCAAAAATGTTTAAACCTACTACAGGACAATTTTATGGTACAGTTCACAGAATTATGGTTTTATGGTACAGTCCATAAAAAAAGAACACCTGGGTAGCAGTGACCATAATATGATTTCATTTATTGTTAGCTGTAAACGACAAGCAGATACGGGAAAAATAAAAATGCTCAATTTCAAGAGAGCTAATTTTCCAAGGCTGAGAGATGCTCTCCAAGACTTAGACTGGGAGGGAATCGATGAACACAACACAGAAATGGGAGTTATTTAAAACGACTATTTGTGAACACACTGCAAAATATATTCCCATGGGCAACAAGTTTAAAAGGCTAAAAATCAAACCTATGTGGCTTTCAGCCAAAATTAAAAAGCTATAGATAATAAGAAAAGAGCTTTTATTAAATATAAAAATGAAGGAACACTATCATCGTTTAAACATTACAAAATATATAACAGAATATGCAAAAAGGAAATAAAGGCCGCAAAAATTGAAAACGAACGACAGATTGCAAAAGATAGCAGGACAAACCCCAAAAAATTCTTCAAATATATTAATAGTAAAAAGGTCCAGTCCGAGCATGTAGGCCCTTTACAAAATAATCTAGATTGGGTGACTGGGGACAAAGAGAAGGCAAATGTATTTAATACCTTCTGCAGCTCTGTGTATACAAAGGAGCATGGGGGAGCTCTTGTCCTTAATGGGCATGGTATTGACACAGCTCCAGATGATCCACATTGGCTCACAATTGATATGATTCAAAAATATTTAAACAGTATAAAGGTAAATAAAGCACCTGGATGGGATGGCATACACCCCACGGGTCCTTAAAGAATTGAGCTCTGTCATTTCAAAGCCATTGTTTCTCATTTTTAGGGACTCTTTAATGACTGGCATAGTACCACTGGATTGGCGTAAGGCCAATGTGGTGCCTATATTTAAAAAGGGGTCAACATCTTTACCAAGTAACTATAGACCTGTTAGTTTACCTTCTATAGTTGGGAAGATATTGGAGAGTTTAATAAAAGACCACATAGATGGGTTCTTGCTAGAAAAAAATGTTTTAAGCAACAGACAGCATGGATTCATGAAAGACAGAAGTTGTCAAACAAATCTGATTTCTTTTTATGAGGGGTTGAGCAAAACCTTTGGCAGAGGGGTGGTGGTGGACGTGGTATACTTGGATTTTGCAAAAGGGTTCGACACAGTTCCCCACACATGGCTAACGTGTAAGGTAAGGTCTACGGGTTGGAAAAATCAGTAAATGGATAGAAAACTGGCTAAAAGATCGTATTCAAAGAGTAGTGGTTAATGATTCATACTCTGAATGGTCTAGGGTTGTCAGTGGTGTACCCCAAGGTTCAGTGTTGGGACCCTTACTTTAATATATTTATAAACATATATGGGTCTGGAATTAAAAATCCAGCTGTGCAGTGGAATAACGTCCTTACAGGATGTCTTCAACTTACTAGCCGACCTCAATGCACTGTTTAACCACTTGCCCTCCTGAGGATTTACCCCCCTTAATGATCAGGCCTCTTTTTGCTACTCGGCGCTGCACTAATTCAACTGATAATTGTGCGGTCATGCAATGCTGCTTCCAAACGAAATTTACGTCCTTTTTTTCACACAAATAGAGCTTTCTTTCAGTGGTATTTGATCACCTGTGCGCTTTTTATTTTTCACGCTATAAACAAAAAAAGACCAAACATTTTGAAGAAAAACAATATTTTTTTTTACTTTCAGCTATAAAAAATATACATATAGTAAACTCAAAGTTAGTTATAAATTTAGGCTAAAATGTATTCTGCTACATGTTTTTGGTAAAAAAAATCCCAATAAGTGTATATTGATTGCTTTGTGTGAAAGTTATAGCGTCTACAAAACTATGGTATAGATACTGCAATTTACGCCATTTTTTTGCTATAGAGCGCTGCGCTAGTTTAATGGACAATTGCGCGGTCATGCAATACGGTACATAAATAAAATTTTCATCCTTTTTTTCCCACAAATTGAGCTTTCTTTCGGTGGTATTTGATCGCCTGTGCGGTTTTTATTGTTTGCGCTATAAAAAGAAAGGCTGACAATTTTAAGGAAAAAAAAACAATATTTTGGACTTTTTGCTATAAAACATGTCCAGTAAAAAAAAAATTTAGAAATCAAATTTAGTCATAAATTTCTGCCAAAATGCATTCTGTGACATGTCTTTGCTTTAAAAAAACCCCAATACGTGTAAATTAATTGGTTTCGTGAAAGTTATAGCATTTACAAATGGTGGGAAAGATACTGGGATTTTTAAATTTTTTTTATACTAATAATGGCGCTGATCAGCGACTTATGGCAGCAATCAGCGACTTATGGCTGGACTGCGGGACTGCGGCGGACATTCTGACACTGGGGAGGAACTGACTTGGGGTCACTGACATCCCCAGTGACACCAATACAGTGATCAGTGCAAAAAAAAAAAACACTGACACTGTACTAATGGCACTGGGGAGGAAGGGGTTAACTTTATTATTCTGTGAAAGGGTTAACTGTGTGAGGGGAGTGTTTTACTAGGGGGCATGTACTGCAGGGAACACCGCTGATCGGAAGAGATAAACTCTTCTCTCCCGATCAGCCTGTCAGGAGCTGTCAGGGAACTGACAGAAAGCACAGCTACTGCAGCTCTGCTCTCTGTCACTGATTGCCACTAATCACCGGGACATAGCCAGTAACGACCGGCTGTGACCCGGCGACTGACATCCGCGGCCGTGATCGGCAGGACAGGTAGGGCGGCGGCGCACCTCGCGCGCGCCCCCTACCTGTTTTGAAAACACACGTTTCAAAAAGTGGTTTTGCCCAGCCGTGCCGCCCTGCCGCCGTATTTCTACAGTGGCTGGGCGGCATGTGGTTAATTGAGCAACTATTTTGCACATGAGGTTTAATGTTGATAAATGTAAGCTTATGCACTTGGGGGCCAAGAATATGCATGCATCATACATACTAGGGGGAGTAAAACTGGGGGAATCAATGGTGGAGAAGGTTCTGGGAGTTCTGGTAGATCACAAGCTTAATCATGGCATGCAATGCTAAGCTGCGGCTTCTAAAGTGAGCAAAATCCTCTCGTATTAAAAGAGGTATAGGCTCCAGAGAGAGAAATATAATTTTACCCCTGTACAAATCATTAGTAAGACCTCATCTGGAATATGCAGTTCAGTTTTGGGCACCAATTCACAAAAAGAACATTGGGGAACTTGAGAAAGTACAGAGAAGGGCAACTAAACTGATACGAGGCATGGAGGAGATCAGCTATGAGGAGAGATTAGAGGAACTGAATTTATTCTCTCTTGAGAAGAGGAGATTAAGGGGGGTATGAGCAACATGTATAAATACATCAGTGGTTCATATAGTGAACTCGGTGTAGAGCTGTTCACCCTGAGGTCATCTGTCAGGGATCCGGCTATGACCAGAAATGTGTGGGAACACAGGTGTAGTCAGGGCTGGAGAGGTGGAATGGTCAGGCAGGACGTTTGGTACTGTTAAGCACCGCCTGGCAGCATCTCTAGCAGCCCACAGCA